AGTTTTTCGTCTGTGTGGAAACAAGTTTTGATCTTTCATTTTGCGGAGAAATAGATTGCTATAGTTTAATTGTGTGCAATTGGGACGAGGTCCAAAATTCGTGTGGATTTGTTAGTATACAATAGTTATGGAGTGGAAATAAGTCGTTTACCCTTTTATATTCCTATGTAGTTGAATATGAATATATAGAGAATGTGTAAATCATATTGTTTTATCTTTTAATCTTAATAAAGACATATGACTTTAGCTATAAATTATTTAAAAATCATATGTTTCAATACTATATACCTTCAAAACTCACTTATATTAAAAACTGAATTATGAATATTATATATAACTAATTTTAGTAAAAAAATTTAAATACAAAAATTGTTTATGTTTTTACTGTTAAATATTTTTAAAGAATAATTATTTTTGACTTTAGCTATATAACATATGACTTAAGCTATAAATTCTTTAAAAATATTTAACAGTAAAAACATATTCAATTTTTGATGATGAAAAAATATCTTAATTTGACAAAATATAATAAATATATTGTTACAAAACATTCATACCCGCAAATTGCGGGTATCCACCTAGTTAAAGTTTAATTATTTCGTAGTTACTCGTAAAACCTCTAAAAAAATCAATTTTCAGAAACTTAGGAAGTATCTCTCCAATCCTAATTTATTCAACTAATATACATACGTCATTCAATATTTAGGCTCATAACTCTATTGCCCATTTAATGAGAGCGTCTAGGTTAAATCTACATAAATATACTCATATGTTTAATGGATGAGGCTAAATGAATCTACTCACTCGTATGTTGTCAAATGTATAGGCGGTTAAGTGATTCACAGTATCTACCGAAAACATCAGGAACATTCATTGCATGGACCACATTTAACTGTTGTAAACAATGTGGTTAACCAATCAAACATCTACAGTTCAACAAATTTTTTAAATAACTTAAAACCTTACTCTATGGTATTGAATGCTATTTTAGTGGCCAGATTTGACAAAAAAACTATATTTACATATATGGGGACTCGTACACTTAGATGTGGACTCATTCGATAGGTTATGATATGGTCATTTAGGACTAAGAATGTTAGTTGAAATGACTTACCATCGGCCGCAACCATGTTTCAGTTCGGTTCATTCTTCTTTAACTTTCTTAGTTCCAAAACTGTTGTTTAGTAGTTAGATTATGTTTTACGTCTCATTTAAATATCTAAAAAGTGATCTACTCATCGACTATATCTCTTTCTGAGAAATTACTCTGGACCTTTTTCATGTATTCAAAATTCATCAAAAAATGAAATATTTTCGACTCTGAATTGGACAAGGAAAACAATTATTCACCGCGGTTATGTGTTTCTACATCCACCCCTACATACAACTCGTATAGATAAGCTTAAATGGATGACAAGATTTGTTGATTTCTTAAACCAATATACAAAACGACCGCATACTTAAGTATGATCATATAATTTGAATAACCTTTACAAGCATCACAAAACATTAACATTGTATTAAAGAATCTATATATTAAAACAAAAGTATAAAATAATATCTGTCTATTTTAAGTGATTTTTGTCTAGACTTTCTTATACTTCATTTATTTATTTTTTCAGATAATCACTTCATTTATTCTGTTCACTTTTATTTATTATTTTGTCTAAATATGAAATCCGGATAATTTCAATTTTGATATATAGAAACCTTAAAATATCCAAAAACTATTATATTCAAAGGTTCAGATAGTTATACCAAAAATAATCATATTAAGAATAATTTCTAGTATTGTTTTAGAATGAAAGTCGCACCGAATAATACCTTATGTGACGATTAAACTCGGCACCTTAGGTGTTATACTAACATTATGACATGCCTTCAAATTCAGTGGTAAGTATAAGTAATAATTTAGAAAAGGAATGCCAATTGTGAAATTAAATCCATGCAGATTTATAAAGACATTACGATATACGTTTTTATACATTCACATGTGCGTAATCATGTAATCAGTTTTATGTATCAAATATATCTAATCAGTTTGAGATCAATTTCACATAAAATACAACAAAGTATTGTTTAGTATTAAAATATTATACATGTGAATTCATATACAGTTTAGAAATAGGCCTGACATTAGATGCCACAATCTTTAAAGTCTTTCAAAACCGATTATGTCCAAAATGTTCGATAAATAATATTTTTATGCATTATACTCCCTCTATTTTATTATAATTGCTATATTAGTTTTGTGATCACAGATTAAAAAATAATTAATTTTGTATATTTTTATATAAAAATATAACTATCTATACATCTCACTATATTTCAATTAATATAAAATAGATTGCAGTATTAAATTAATGAATTTGTATTAAAAACTGAAAACAACAGTTATTTGTAATGAATTTTTTTTCTATTAGTAACAGTTAAAAATATAGGTTTTGATTCCAAACAAGATTGCAAAATGTCTTGAAAATAATCCATAATAGCCTAATAGGGGATCCTCTTAAATGCTATGATAGTAATCGTGAACTTCTTTTACAAAATTTATTGAAAGCGTACTTATGTTATGTCCACACTCGAATTTAATACGTTATTTTGATGGCCCCGTTCGAACGTATCATAGCTTCTGAAAATTTCTGAATTTTTAAAAGAAAAAAATCAAGAGATTTTAGTTGTATAATAATGTATAGAGAGATTAATTTCTCCAGAATCACTTTAAATCGCTGGTGTAAGTGATTTCAGTACTCCGCCAGCGAAGGAGTTGCCTTACTGAGTCATATGTACTGTCTTAGTCATAGAAGATTCTAAAATTAAAATACATTTGGTTGTTTTTTTGGATCATGCATATATATAATATTTATTACTATTATTGTATTTGCAGGTGAAATTTGATTTATATATTTTTAGTTTAGGTTTTTGAGTTTCATTGTAATTCACAGATTGAGGAACCATATATGTAACAATATGTATATATTTTCTAGTTCTTCATCCACTGTTAATCAAACTTGACTTGTGACCTAGTTTATTATAGGTTGTTCAAAACGTTTTTTTTTTTTTTTTTAGATAGATGAGCAACAAAGTTATTAGCCAACGAAAGATAGTTTAAAAGCAAATATATCAAACTCGAACTTAATGCATGTCTAACTTCCTGAATTCAATAGATAGTACATAATCTTAAGTTGTTAGGCATATTGATTAATAGTTTCAGAGTTCAATTCTTTGATTTATGATTCAGGATTCATGTGATTTTCCCTAAACCTATTGTTCTATCCTATTCGTTTTACATTTTTAATCTGCATTCCTAGTTACTTTCATTTGATACTTACAACAACAAAACCATCTTATTATCTTAACTATATTTGTTATAAAGAAATCATATTGCAACATTGGTATTTATGGATTCTATTGCTACAATACTTCATTTGTTTGGGGACTTGCAAATGATTTATAGGGTTTTACTCTGCATATCACACATGACTATCAATCTCTGGTAGAGAAAGTCAGAATTATATTTCTAAGTTGGATAATCATATGTCTTTTACAAGTTATAAATTCGGTAATTAGTAGCACTGTAAACTTTTGCCTTTTGGCGTTGTGTGTTGGGATTTTTCCCAAAAAAAAATATTTTCTTGAGATTGAAACTTTATTTGAGCCTTCTTATGGATTGTTCACCAAATCAGAAGGGGAAAACTAAGATTTCGTGGAAGAAAGTTTATAAACAAAATAGTAAAGGGGGTTTAGGAATCAAAATTAGGAAGGATCTATCACGTGTCTTTGCTACAAATAAAATTTGGAAGTTGATTACTCTCGAGATGACTGGGTTAGAACCATATGTTGAAGAATGGCTCATTTTCAGAAGCCAAATACATTACAATTTCCTTTTGGATATAGAACAAGTTGCTCAAGTTTCCAGATTAAGCATTGGCTTTCCTTAAGATGGAACTAAGTAATGGTGAATTCATATTTTTTCGGCCAGTTATGTTTTCTAATGAGACGACTGATAGATCCTATTAGAGAGATTGAAACAAGACAGTTGTGTGTTCAGAGACCAGCGAGAGTTTCAGAAGTAGCCACAGAGTCATCATGTCTAGTTTTGGTTTAATGCCTAACCGTACAAAAAATCATGAGAAAACCAATAATTTCATAAGAATTTAATTTCGTTAGAAAAGGAAATTAGACCTGACAAAAAAAGATAGAAAGAACAACAACAAAATTACAATAAAGTCGTAGAACTTGCTCTGCCAAACTGAAACAATAAATATGTATATATAATTAAGAAAAGAAAGTTTGCAGATTTGGATTTACGTAACAAATAAGTTTGCCAATATCTGTGATTAAAAACATAATTGGCTTATATATACTTACAATTCTATTGGGAAACCAAGAAGATTGATCGTTTCGAAATTCTAGAAATGATAATAATCATGAAAAATGCAAAAAATGAGAAGATAACCCAAGATAAGAAGTAATTATAGCTAATGCAATATGAAAAAGGTATATAATGTTTCATTTAGTTTATATAATTACCTTGATTTAGTTACTATATAAGTCTATGCATCTTATATTGTAACTTATTTTTATAAGAGTCTACTAATAATTCGTCATTAACATGCTACTACTTAATAAGTTTCATACACTCCAACTTAAAATCAATTATCAATGAGTAAATAATTTTCAGTAAAAAAATGAGTAAATAATTTTGTAAAGTTCTGCCCGCGCATGGCTTGGGTTTTCCAGTCCTATTTTCTCTTCTCGGTCCGTGGACTCGTGTGCCCCCGTCCCGTACAACAAACAAACGATGCGTTAATTTTTCTGATTTCTCAGAGGCTCGAAAGTCTTGTTTTTCTAAACTTCCAATATAGAATACAGTGTACCCATTATTTTAAAGACTAAAAGTTAATTATGATCCCTTAGCTCTTACTTATCCTTAAAAAATCTCAACAAAAGACTTCACCATGTGTACATGTAAGTGTCAACGACAAGTCTACACAAAGGCTAAGAGGTCAACAAGACCACACAACAGTTCTTACTATTAGTTTGCAAAGGCTGTTCGTTGGACATTTCCTCCTGGCCTTCTCTCTCTCCCCTCCTCTCTTCTTCTCTATATAATTCTCATCTCACCATTTTCTTTTATTGCATTCTCCAACTAAACCTCAAATTCCATTTCTTCCCTCTCTTTTCTTCTTCTTTCTACCTCTAATAGCAATGGATAACACCAACCGTCGTCGCCGTCGTAAGCAACAGAAAGTCACTGTCCATGACTCTGAAGGTCCCTTTACATTCCCTACTCTTTCTACAACGAATTTTACTTGTTTAACAACAGAAATTCAGTGTCCATGACTCTGAAGCAAGAATAATGCTTTTGCAAATCTTGAAAGCATTTTTTTTTCCACAATTATAAATTTAGTTCCTGGGATCCGATATGGCCTTGTCGTTTATTTTGGAGAGTACTTGTAGATAAGAAGTCAAATATTCACTTCTATATTAGTGAACACCTCGTGCTAAGTAACTTAAAAAAGCGTAGCAGTATATAACGTTTCTACTAGTAACAAAATAAAGATCAACATGACAGAACAATTTACAATTTAAATTTTAATTTTCTGAATATAATTTTCTGCAGAAGTGAGCAGTATCGAATGGGAGTTTATCAACATGACCGAACAAGAAGAAGATCTCATCCGTCGAATGTACAGACTAGTCGGTGACAGGTAACAGTTCCTTCTTGTTCTCCTACATCTTTTTCTATCAATTTTCTCGGCACAAAGGAAAATGATATTGTATGCATTGGTAGGTTAGTGTTTCCATTTTAACAAACGTTAATCTAGGCATGTACGTATTTACTTAAGTTTGTTGTTGCACAGTGTACCATGTTGTAGATGAAGCACATGGCGTCCACTAAGTTTCTTAAAACATTTAATTAAAGCAGGAAGCTATCAGGTTCATTAAATTATATACGGACACATACATTCATATAAAAAGTAAAAAAAAAAAACTATTTTGCTTTTCTTTATCGGTAGGTATACTTATGAATAAATGCTTGGTTTGCTCTAAAATGGAAACTGAATTGATAAATAACTGCTAACATACTAATATAATTTCCGACAAAAAAAAACTAAATATAAATTTTTATTATTAGGTGGGACTTAATAGCAGGAAGAGTGCCAGGAAGACAACCAGAAGAAATAGAGAGATATTGGATAATGAGAAATAGTGATGGCTTTGCTGAGAGACGACGACAACTTCATGGCCCCTCCTCCTCTCACAAAAATACCAAACCTCACCGTCCACGTTTTTCTATTTATCCTTCTTAGTTTTTAATGTCATGATTATATCTTATTGTGCTGTTTGCCCCCACCAGAAAAAAAAAGTTGATAGATGTTATGGTCGTAGTATTATTTAGCGCAACATGCTAAAAAAGTTAGCGTAACGAAATAATTATGGTTGAATTTCTTTTGTTGTGCTTATTGTCTTAATAATTTAGCAGGTTCCAATTAGTATTTAGAAAAGGTTGCCTTTAACATTCAACTATTGAGCAGTGTGCTTAAGGTTGTTTAATTCATTTTTTGTCATCGGTTGTTTAATCCCTTTAAAATAGTACTACATCATGATCCGCGCATCCGTGCAGATTTTATTTTTTTGATATATTCTATATAATTTAGTTTTATATATTTCGAGTTTGTCCAATTCCATTTTATGTTTAATGAACAATATCAAAACTATTTTTTTGTATTTATAGTGTCAAATAGTGCATTATGTAGATGTAACCGTGCAGTGAAAACACTACTTTTGTATGTTTGTTCAAAGTGCAAAATCAAATTAAAACCTAAGCGTTAAAAAATAAGTTGAGAGTTTAATTACTTTGATGTTAATAATTACCTATTTTTAAAAACATAATATACAAATTTTTAGAATATTTGGCCTTGCCTTTATTTTATAGATTATGATGAATTCAAACTTAACTTTGGACTTAACTTTACAAGCGCAAAATATTTTATGATAAAAAATATCATAAATAACTTAACAGATATTTTGGAAATTTGAAAAAAATTATGTATTTAAAATATTTTTACATTTAAATTAGTATTTTAAATTAAACTCGACCCGTGGTTAAACCGGTGATCTGATTCAATTTTGATTTTTACAAATATCCATATTTAAAAAATCATTAAAACCTGACAATAACCAATTAAACCGATGGATAACTGATATGTAACATTTAAACATGTATAAGTTTATTTTCGTTGTTTTATGTATTATTTGAATTTTTAGTTTTATCTAAATAATTTGAAAGAAAATTGTGAAGAAATTATTAAAAAGAGTGAAATTTTATATTTTGTATTGATTAGACATAAGATTAATTATAGTGTTTTGTGAAAACATAGATAGTAATATAAAGAAATAAGTATATTGTTATTGTTTGGAAACATAGATAGTGGTATAAGGAAATAGATATATTGGTTGGAAACATAGATAGTAGTATCAAGAAATGAATATTATAATTTAATGTAGGTTTAACTATAAAATAGAAAGATATATTCAATTTAAAAACTTACAAAATAAATGTTAGGTACAACCTAATGTTTCTGATTTAATAAGATAGACTAGATTTTGACCGCGTTTTCCAAGCGCGAGTTTATGTTTGAACTAACCTTTATATAATTGTATTTCCTATACATGTAGAATGTGAGATAGACTTATTTAGTTCATTAATTTCATCAAACATATTATTTTTAGAAATGCAGGATAAATATTCGGTGAAAATTTTATATGACCGTATTTTTGTTTTATATAAAATAGACATGTGCATAAAATTCATAACTCGACGTTTAATCTCAATCTAAACAAAAAAAATTGGATCGGTAAACGGTCAAAAAACTAAAATATATCAAAATGAGTTTTGTAGGGTGGTACAAAAAATATATTCGAATCAAACTGTTATTTGCCAGACCCAAACGAATAACCCAGAAACACAAAAATCTGGAAAAAAATCTGAATTGATCTGAATGTCCAAATTAATCATAAATATAAATATTTGAAACATAAATATCTAGTTTATTATTCAATTCTATATTTATTTTAAAATGATATTTAAAATTAACTATCTAAATTTTAAATAAGTACTTTAATATCCAATTCTATGAAAATAAATTGATTTTTTTGTTTTGGTTTTAGATTTTAGATTTCCAATATAACCTGAATTCGAACAATATATGGTTACTTTATCGGTTTTAGGATGTGTACAAATTAGAACTAAACCTGACGTGTTGTATTTGAATCTGATCCATACTTACAAACATGCCTACTTACAAATTATGACACCTATAATATGATATAAATTAGCTTTGATTCAAAAAAAAATTGACCCGTATCCCAGTAGGTACTTGAACTCCCAAGCATAACTTAAATTATGTTTTATATTTTGTTAAATTAATCTTATATTTGATAAATATTTTGTCTCTTTATTGGAATAAGCCGTAAAATTATAATGATAAACATATCAGTAATAACATGTTCCATCATATAATTAAATATTAATAGTAACTATTATTAATATTTATTTTATAAAAATATATATATATATATATATTAATATATATATATATAAACGATTTTAAGACTTTATCTATGTATTGGTGGAGGTTGGAAAATTTTGTTTATTATTATTTTGTGTATCAGTTATATATAATTAAATATTAATTTTTTTAAATCCTTATGTTTTAGTTTAGATATGTAAATTAAAATATAAAATTATGTTTTTTCTTAAATATATGATGGTAGTATTTTGTTATTCTGTAAATGTAATTCATTTAGTTTATAATTTATAAAGTAGATTAATTTATATTATAATTATTATTTTGTGTAATTTTTAGTTACAAATATGAAATATTTATATATAAATTTTATAGAAGATTATTTCTTATTCTATAAATCAAAATGAGTTAATAGTCATTGGTAATTTTAATTTAATATTACTTTACATTTTTATTATTAAAATAATATTAAAACAATAAATATTTAATTTTAAAATAAAAATATATAATGATATTGTTAAAAAGTAATTTGAAAAATTAGTTAAGAATATCTTTTTGATATTTTATTTTGAATATACTTAAATATTACATTAATATTATGTGTTTATTTAATAATAACTAAGTTTGTTGTATGTAGCATAAAATAAATTAAATAAATGTAATGTTTTAACCTAAACTATTTGTAAGTAGATCAAATGTGCTTCTGTTTTAATAGTATTGACTAGATTTTGATCCGTCCTTAGAGCGCGGGTATATTTTTTATTTTACATTTCTAGAAATTTAATTTCATATTTACATTATAATTTTTTCTTTGTAACCATATTAATGCTTTTTATAGATAATTTATTTTTTATATTTATGATTTTCTTTATAATCACACTAGGGTAAACCCACCCTACGGGCGGGAAATTATATAAATTTAATTTAAAATATTTAATTTATTTTAAACAAAATAACATTAAATTTTTTAATATTTTGACAACAGTGTTAACTTAATTTTACTATTAGTTTTCGAGTTTATATCCTAATCTAATAATTTTAAGGGCAATTCTCTCAAATAGCTCTTTTTAAGTTTTTATCACAAAAATAGACCTCAAAAATTAAAATGACCAAAATAGTATTTTTTTATTTTGAAAATTTTAAATTTTTCAATTTTTTAAAATTCGAAACCCTATCTTCAAAATCCCATTCCTCAATTCTAAACAAAAAAGTCTAGGATTAGTTAACCCAAAGGGTATAAAAGTATATTTAATAAAACATTTAAGTGCTATTTTGATTATTTTAATTGTTAAGATCTATATTTGTGATAAAAACTTTTTAGATCTATTTTAGTCATTTTCTCTAATTTTAATTATATATATAATTTATTTTCACGCAGAATTTATATATTCGTTAGAGATTTCTTATTTGAAAATATTTGGTTATATATTATGTATATCAACTATTATGTTTATGATTGCTTATTTTTACTTTAATCATTCATCTAGGTTTAAAATGTTTGATATTAGGATATTCAATTTAATGCAATTAATTAAATTTTGTAATTTGACTGTTGAGATAATTTAAATGAGAATATGTTCTATCTTATTTTTGGATATGTTTTTGATATGTTTTTTTATTTATTTTAGGTCTACTCTTATATTTTCATTGACATGTTGTTTTTATTGCGTCTCTTGTATCTACTCTTATATATATATATATATATATATATATATATATATATATATATATATATATATATATTCATATAAGTATTGAAATTAAGTTTGAGTTTATTTTGCAACAAAAAAAAATTTATTCCATTGATGCTTCTCTTTTTTATACATTTTAAACCTATTAATTTAGATAATTTGATAAATAAATCGATTTAAATTTTATTTTCTAAAGTTACTTAAATAACATAGCAATCTAAAATTGATTACTTAAGAATGTACACATTTCATCAAATAAACCGTATAATCCAAAGAGTTTTAAACAAATTAATTGTTAGTTTTAGAGTATACATGGTTTTTTTTTTTATTATTACCTTTTGAATTTGTATATTGGTTTTTATACATATAATTGTTTCCTTAGAAAATCATCATAATTTTATTAAGTAAACATTTTAGTAAATATTGTGTACTGTATTCAGATTAAGTTACACTATATTGGTAAAGTATATTACTATGAAATTTGTTCTCTATTAATATATATATATATATATATATATATATATATATTGTCATTATATAGTATACATGATTCATATAATAACACCCAGGCGTAGCAGTTACAATCATATAGCAAGGGAGGCGCTATAGGTTGATGTGTATGCTAGTGGGCTGATCAATAAGGTGACGTAGGTTCAATTTATCAAGATTTATGCAGGGATAATGGTGTATAAATTTGTCTAAGTACTATTAAACCTCAAGGAATGTCAATCTATAATGTTAATTACACGTTTTATCTGAGTTTGTGATACAGTAACGAAATACATTCTGCATTACGTGAAGACAGCTTGCATTCCAATTGATATATTTGTATGACCTCTTTTCTTATCTCCGCATTTGTTGTCATTTAACCGGATACAATTTTAAGATTGAACAATATCTCCACCTTATAATTAACATGGTGGGAAATGGATGAACCATTAGGTTATGTTTTTTCAAAGGATAAATGTGGATTCTTATGATTCAAAGTTTCCAGCATCTTATCTACAAATGAAATAATGAAAACCTTATTGCTGATCAATTTCACTGTGTAACCTTTTATTTCCTCTATTCTTCTTTGCATTTTATAACAATATATGTAGGTCGGTCAAACAATTGTGGAATAAGACTGAAATTTCTTATTTTGATAATCAAAATCGAAATATGTATAAGTACGAAATATCTAAAACCAAACTTGGTTGATAAGCAATCACAAAAACATTAAAAGAAACCAAAACAAAGGAGGAAGAAATTGAACATTATTGAAATCGGAAATACTGCAGCGTGAACTTCATCCGGCTTCACTTATGCCTTCCGTGCCTTTTTCATCTTGGCATGTGCTCCATGAGTCTGGCTACAACCAACAGCTTCCAGCTTAGCAGTCTCTG